CTATAAGCAATAGTATCTTTTTGTTTCTTTTTGAAATTCCTGTGTGCCTCATAAGTTTGGAGATTTCCAACCAAGTGATCTAGCTTGAGGTTGTCAACATCTTGAGCCTCCTCAATAGCCGTAACTTTTGGTTGGAACCGATCGGGCAAGGATCTCAAAATTTTTCCCACAACTTTGGATTCTGGAATTTTTTCACCTAAATTGAAGCTGGAATTTACAATGTCACTCAACTTCGCATAAAATTCATCAAAGGTCTCACTATCTTTCATTGGAAGGTTTTCGAAACTAGACGTGAGCCTTTGAAGTTTTGAGCGTTTAACAAAATGAGTGCCCTCATGAATAGTTTGTAAGATATCCCAAGCCTCTTTTGCGACTTCACAATTGCAAATGCGACTAAACTTTTCAGGTGTGACAGCATAAAAAAGAGAATTGATAGCTTTACTATTCTAGCTACTATTTTGGTAATCAATTGTGTCCCACTTATCAATTGGTTTGGGAAAAGTTACTCCATCAACGATAATCGTTGGTTCGGTCCACCCATACATGACAGATTGCCAAACTTTTTTATTAATAGATTTCAAAAACAATCTCATTCGAGCTTTCCAAAAAGAATAATTGGATCCGTCAAGTAGGGGTGGTCGAACCAATGAATTTCCCTCACGTATTGAATCCATTGTCACAAATCAAACAATATCTCACTCAAAAGTTTTAAAAAAACAAAAGAGCGACCCGCTCTGATACCAATTGAAAAATCTAGAAATCCGCTAGATATTGATTCATGATTATGTATCAATTTCAAGCAATAAAACAATCCCAATCAAACAATCAAGACAAATCGACACAACGATTTTAACGTGAAAAAATCACAATTGGAGCACCTCCAATTGTGAAAGAAAAAAATCACAGGCAACAGCCACAAAACAATCCACTAAGAAGATATAAAGGAATTACACAAGTATACTCTCAATTACCTAGCGAATCCATGCCCGAATTGAACCAACCCCTATGTGCCTTTTCCAACCCAGTCTTCACCTCGGAATTGTCTTGACAATGAGCCACTCTAGAATCCACCAAAGCTTCAGGCTCAAATTCTTCAGAATCCACCGAAAAATAACTCTCTCTTTTGTATAGAATGAACAAACAATCCTTTGATGTATCCTCCTTAAACCATGAGTTGAATACTTAATGAAACATCAAAGAAAACTAGCAAAATAGCCCCAGATATAAAACCTAGAACCCAAGAAAAAGATCTGGAGGCGTAACCCTAGATTTGGAGCAACATGCGAATTTATAGAATCTGAAATCGCGAGGTCCGCTCGAGCTTGGGAATGGATGCTCGAGCGGGGACACTATATGATGTGTTCCAAACCAGGATGTACGCTCGAGCGGGGATTTTGACGCTCGGGCGTGAAAACACGGATCACAGTATTTTTGCAAACACACATACTTCTAGAACTCACCAATCTCCGCTTGAGCGGGGGAATGTCCAGTCGAACGGACAGGCAACTTTGAATGTATTTTTGTATTTTGCTTCGGGGGCGCTGCCCCTCGACCCCGCCTGGGCGCTGCCCCGGACCCGCTAAGGGGCACTGCTCCCTGGGCCCCCGCGACCTGACCAGGCAGCTCGATCCCCATCATAATCAGCAAAGTGACAATCCTGAAAGAATTAACATCACAAAACTTCTCTGCAAGGCACAATTCGAGTTGGATTCACATCTAAAAACTCATAGCCTCACTGAAATAAAAAGTGCGAAAACAAATACAACTGAAAGGAGTTTTGTCAAATGGAGTTGCCAAGAATAAAAACCTAACAATATGTGTATGAGTTTCTAATTCAGTAATTTAAACATGACTAAATAATTGTAATTTAATGTGTATGAGCCTAATTTAAGTTTAATTGTATAATTACTGAACTTAATAAGGATTGGTTTATAATTAAATTATTTATATTTAATTAGTTTGGTTAATACATAGCTAAACATATTTTAATTGAAGGTTAATAATTTAATTTATTCCTAATACTAGTCATCCATATTTAAAAGGAATGGAAGAAAAATAAATAGGAATAACCGAATGAAAAATTAGAATTAAATGAGAGAAACCGAAAGACAAGCAAGTAACCGAATTAAATAGATTGTAAGAGTATACTTGTAATCATGTTGTGCTTGACTTATTTGTTTAGGTCAGACGCCGAATGAATAGCATGTGTTTTTCAGGAGCCCACTGTGAGTAATATTTCTGTAAAGATATGTTGATATGAACTATGTTTCAACTGTTATGTGATAAGTTATAACTTCTGAAATGCTATTTTAATTATGTGAACGAATGTCCTATTTGTGAATCTATTATGGCATCCATAGATAGTCCCAAGTCGTGGGGGACAACATGTTAATGCGGGTCCATGACACATATGTGATACGAGATCTCGTTAGCCACATCATTGTGGTGATATGTGTTTAATCGGTATCCAGAACCGATTACTCTAGTCGAAAGACGATATGTGATATGTTCTGTGAGATGTACCATTATTTTATGTTCTGATATGAGACTGATATGAATGACTGTGTCATGATTTGTTTTACGGATAAGATATATTTGGAATTCGTTCACTAACCCCTTTACGTTAATGTTATTCACTGGGTTTTAGCTCACTGTTTATATATATATATATATATATGTGTGTGTATGTATGTATAGGTGAGCGTTCTGGAAGTCAAGTCTAGAAGAGGTCTTTAGCCAAGCTACTCTTTTAAAGCCTACTGAGTTATTTTGTGTGCCTCTGAGTTGGGGCTAGGCCTAAAAGGCCGTTGTTAAGCTTTTGATCGTGAAGTACACTTTTGTTATGTGCTTACATTATGTATAAAATGTTAAGTTATAAGTTATGTACTGAATGTGGGTAAATTAACGTTTTTGCATGATAAAAATTTGTTCATACAGATGCACAGCTCATTGGACTATTAGTGTATTTTTGAATATCGCTTCTGTTAGCCCCGATTATTTTTGATTGTTCAGGAAGGCCTTTGGTAATCTCGGATTACGGGCCAGTTACGACGCTAAACCTATAGGGGTGGATTTGGGTCGGGACAACATGTCCTCATTTTCTTCATTTTTCTCAATACTTAAATGTTTATATCAAATTAATTATATGAACTTGTGACTCTACTCTTGGTTGTCAAACATTATTTGAAAATTACTAAAAAAATTTGTGGACAAATTACTTTGGCCGTCAAGGTTTGAGTCTATTTGCATTTCTAGTGCTTAGAGTTGATGAAATGACACTTTCTAGCTTATAAAACTCTGTTTGGACTTTGGTTCAACGCTTTTATCAATGGTGCAGCATTGCACGTACAGGAAAAATATGCATGTGATCCTCACCTCATGTACGTTGTGAGGAAGTGGTTTGGAAATACTCTTCGGATCCTGGGAGACGCTAGTGATCCTCAGCTAGTCACCTGAAAAGAAATAAACACTCCGGTCGGGGGTGCCGGAATTAGCACTCCGACGGACAAGTTAGTTCAGACGATCAGGATAGCCTATTTACCAGTTTTGTGAAGTGATTCTTACATACTTTTCTATAACCGTTGTTCCTGTATTTATACCTATTCTTCTTGATCCTCGGGGCCAGGACCTACTTTTTAATCATTGTCCTTTCCTTTATTCGGCTCTAAGTACTTATACTTTATTCAGCACATATATTCTATTCGGCTCCCCACTCTCGTAGGATATAGCCGATTAATATCAGTCTTCCAAAGATACACACCATCTGATCTTTCCATTATTCAGCCCCCACAATTGCCCCCCCGAACTCCCCATTGACGGATGTTAATCGGCGTGTTCGGTTTTGAATTGGAAAGGTTAAAATAGGTCAGGCAGCTTTGCGTACCCCAATATATATGTCAGGATGCGCACACCTTTTCGTTCATCATTACGCTTTCCCGCCTCAACCTTGCATCTCGCATTTATTGTGATTTGAAATTTCAATCCTTTCGAATGCACAGTTCATCGAGTATTCAAGACTCTTAGACCGCCAGCAGATATCCCTTCTCTGACTCGCATTCTCTGCAACTCATCTCCATCTACCCTCGTCTCCCTTGTTCCTCGTAAGTCTTCTTCTCTTTTCTTTGCAATCTTACTTTTTGTTTATCGCTTTCATTTTGGTGAACCCTTTATTCCCCGTGAAAATGGCCAAACACTTGAAAGACCTCCTTTCTGAGGGTCGTGTCTCCGGATTCCAGCGACACTTTTCCATCCACGACGATGTTCATCTATCTCTAGTGACGGACAACAGTCTGGATATGGAGAGAGAGGATCAAAATTCAATCGTCTTTCCTCTCCTATCCATTGCAGAGGGCGGGGTTCGCTTTCCCCTACATCCGTTCCTTAGGGCCGTCCTCCGCTATTGGGGTCTAATTCCTTCTCAGCCCAACGTGAACTTTTTTCGGATCATAATGGGGATCGTAGAGTTGAACCGGCACCTCAAGATCGACCTTGGGGTTCCGGCCATTCGGCACTGCTATGCTTTAGCCAAATCCTCCGGTCGGCTTGGGCAGTACTTTCTTAGGGCCAAGGATACTGACCATCATTTGGTAACCATGCTCGCCAGTTCTGGCAAGCGTGTGGATGACGTAATGGTCAATATCCAAGGGAACTGGGAATTTGGTGAAGGCGAGGATCACCTAGACCCTATTCCCAGACGAAGAGGTGAACCAGGTTGTCGTGTTTTACTGAACTTTTCTTTTACTCGGCTTTCCCTCTGTGTCTAACCCCTTGCCTTTGCAGGCAGTAATTTGAAGAAGATTCTGGTTTCTGCCGACGACGCGGTCCTTTCGCAGGTTGCGACTGCACTCGGATACTTCGGTCGTCCGAACTTACAGAAGCAAGGGAGAGCGGCCCACATACTTCTTCGATACGAGCCTACTTACACTACTTTTTCGGCCGTTGACAATATTCCAATTCTATCCGGCGATCGATAGCTTGCGGCTCTTATTTTCCCTAGCTTCAAGAGTCTCAGACAAGTTGGCCTCGAGGCCTCTAACTCGGGGCAAGACGTCAAGCCCGTGGTAGAGGAAGTCGCCGAACTAGACAGAGAGTTCGCTGAGGAGGTCGAAGAGGTTGGCGAGGCCCTAAACTCAGCGTTTGAGGCAGCCACACGTAGTCAGCCTACCTCGCCGTCCACTTCGAGTCGGGCTGAGTTTTCTTTTGGAGATATTTTTGGAGGTTTGGAAGATTTACCCGGTGATTTTTTTGAAGGTATGGCTGGGGAAAGCCTCACGCAAATGGCTCGAAAGAAAAATGCCGAACGTATGGCCGCCTGAAAAAAGGTCGAGGCTGCTCGTTCTGGACCTGCCTTGGTTGAGTCTTCCGAACCCATTATTGAAGAGTCTGCTAAGATTGTTGAGGCCGAAAAGGCGAAAGAGGTCGAACAACTGGTCATTGATGAACGGTTGATTCCAGAAGAGCGGGGCAAGAAGCGTAGCACCGAGGGAGAGGCGGGTTCAAAAGATAGTCTTGCCGACAAAAGGCCTTGCTTAGAAGAATCGGACGTGGTTGTCCCTTTTATTGTTCAGCCAAAGATTAGAGGCATGCCGATTCCTTCTGATGCATCCATCATTACCGACCCGGCGGTAGCCTTGAGCCTGGCAGCGTCAGTCTCCTTACCAGCTGATAAGGCGTCCTTTCATGCCGTGCCGAATTTGGTGGCCATAGCCCTATCTGCGCAGTCGGCCCTTTTGGTAGGTGAACTTTGACTTGTTTTGATTTGATTGCCTATGGCATCTAACGATCGCAAGTCGTTTTGCAGACGATTGGCAGGATCGCCGACTTAGGCCGCCGCCTACATGACGCCCTTGAGAGGATTGACCGTTTGTAGTCGGAAGTGGTCGATCAAAAGAGCAGGGCCGAGTTTAAGATAATGAGGGCCGCTATGGAAGCTGCGCGAGCCAAAGCCGAAGCCGAAGCGGAAAGGGCTCGAGCTGCCGATCAGCACCGTTCTGAAGCCGAAGATAGGGCGAACGTGAGCAAAGAATTGCTTAGGCTAGTCGAGGAGGCGCTTACCAGGATGGAGATTGAGTTAGCAGAGTTGAAGGCGGCCAAGGAAAAGGCAGAATCCGAGGCTTCTGCCGCATTCGAAGCAGGAAAAGGCGTCGCCTTCAAAGAATACGTAGATGAAGTCCCCAGGTTTGAGAATCGGGGGTTCAAACACGGGTGGCTCAAGGCCCTTGGTGCCGCTGGGGTTACATTGGCCTTGCCAATTCCTTATGAGCAGGTGGACGTTGAGCCACTTGAGTCTGACCCCGAGGATTGATCTGGGAGTCAGTCGAATTTTATGAAATACTTTCCCTTTTAATGTATGTTTTTGTTTTTAGGACTTTTGTTGGTTCCGAGTAGTTTTCATGTATAAATTGGCTATTGTCTGTGCTCCATTTATTAATGAAAATTATCTTCTCGCGTCCCTACTAATGCGCAGTTTGTGATGTTATGTTGGTGTAGAATGTTTGCCTTTCACTACTTTAGTTAGAATGACTACTCTGTTGACCTTTCTATGATTGAATATCATGATTAATCTACCCTTGCCCCAGGCGGTGCATGATCATTCGTGCGCCTGAGGAGGCAAACTTAGTTTTGTTGTCGATTCGTGAGCCGACTGGGGCACATAAGCCGAATATATTGATTAATCTATCACGCCCTTGCCCCAGGCGGGGCATGATCATTCTGAAGTCGATTCATGAGCCGGCTGGGGCACATAAGCCAAATAGATTGATTAATCTATTACGCCCTTGCCCCAGGCTGGGCATGATCCTTCTAAAGTCGATTCGTGAGCCAACTGGGGCACATAAGCCGAATGGATTCATTAATCTATCCCGCTCTCGCCCCAGGCGGGCATGATCCTTCTGAAGTCGATTCGTGAGCCGGCTGGGGCACATAAGCTGAATGGATTCATTAATCTATCCCGCCCTCGCCCCAGGTTGGGCATGATCGTTCTAAAGTCGATTCGTGAGCCGGTTGGGGCACCTAAGCCGAATGGATTCATTAATCTATCCTGCCCTTGCCCCAGGCTGGGCATGATTATTCTGAAGTCGATTCGTGAGCCGACTGGGGCACATAAGCCGAATGGATTGATTAATCTATCCCGCCCTTGCCCCAGGCTGGGCATGATCGTTCTGAAGTCGATTCGTGAGCCGGCTGGGGCACCTAAGCCAAATGGATTCATTAATCTATCACGCCCTTGCCCCAGGCTAGACATGATCATTCTAAAGTCGATTCGTGAGCCGGCTGGGGCACCTAAGCTGAATGGATTCATTAATCTATCCCGCCCTTGCCCCAGGCAGGCATGATCCTTCTGAAGTCGATTCGTGAGCCGGCTGGGGTGCATAAGCCGAATAGATTGATTAATCTATCACGCCCTTGCCCCAGGCTGGGCATGATCATTCTAAAATCGATTCGTGAGCCGGCTGGGGCACCTAAGCCGAATGGATTAATTAATCTATCACGCTATTGCCCCAGGCTGGGCATGATCATTCTGAAGTCGATTCATGAGCCGACTAGGGCACCTAAGCCGAATGGATTCATTAATCTATCCTGCCCTTGCCCCAGGTGGGCATGATCATTCAGGTGCCGGCGGGTCTATCCAGTCGGCGCTGGGTGATTGAGGTTTTCACAATTAATGAAATTGCCTCGAAGGTGCTGCCTTTGTGAAGGATAAATGATTATGGGTACAACTTTTATGAATACAGTAAACAACTGACTCCAGCTTTTGAAGGAATCGTGTGAATGTCGAACAGACTTTTCTTTAACAACAGAGGGGAAGCGAAGACGCTAGCGGGGCTGGGTGGAGACATCAATCGAGGTGGTGACCCTTCGCGCACCAGGGGTAAGAGTACCAGGGATCGAGAGAGGCATCAGTCTCCCCGATGTCGGAGCAGGTCGCCTAGGCGGGACAAGCAGTCGCAGGGCAGGTCTTCTCAACCTCGAGTTGAGAAGGGATTTGACTCGAATCCGTGCCCATTAAGCTTTACGGTGTTTGTGGGGAATAGACCCATGACAGAGGCAGATTCGATCGTGCGAGACCCAAATGTAGCGGTCGAGTTTGCTCGACAAATGTTTCCTCCTGAGGTTCAGCAATCGATGGTAGGTTGTCAGGACTACAAAGTATTTCGCGAAGGCATTCACGGGGCAGTGAAGGGGCTTTACACTGCTTATGAAATCGGCATGCGGTTGCGCACTGCCTGCCGAGAGATGGAGAAGAAAGAGGAACGTATTCGAAGTTTGAAGGCTCGGGCGGAGGCGGCTAAGCGCGAGTTAGGGAAGACCAAGGCGACCCAGGCACAAACTGCTGGGCACGGAAACCCAATCGTCGAAGAAAGGGTTACCAGTCGGTTCATCAGTTTGCGCTTGCCGATCGTGAGACGGCGAGTATGTTCGCACTGGAGAACGCGAAGGGGAGGGCCTATGAGAAAGGCTTTCATGATGGCCAAAAAGTTGGAATCAAAAAGACAAAGGAAAAACTTGCCGAAAAAGTTTGCCGATGTGAAAATCATGGATTTAGGCACGGTTGGATCATGGCATCTCAAGTCGCAGAAGCTCTTCGAGCGTCGGGCATTGATTCGGCATCGCCATTCTACCACAGTAAACATTTTCATTTTCTTCTTTTGAGGTCGAGAAGAGTGAGAATAAGGGTGACGCTGTATAAGTGTACTTGTTGTAAGGTTGAAACGCAGATCACGTTGAAAACTATGTAATATATTGCTTGTTTTATCAAATAAAAAGCATTCTATGATAAATATTTTGTTGCAGTTCGTATTTGGTATGTATGCGTTTCGTTTCTGTATATGTTTGAATGGATGTATAAACGTTGATCGGCAGGGTCGACCCATACGTGATAGCCGTTTATCCCTGAATGAGGCTATTGTAACTTGAGGAAGCCAAAAGCCAGCGGGTAAGGTGGCTGCGGCAAATTCAACTCGGCTCGGGGCCTAGATTTTCAGACGGTGCACGTGCTTCAAAAAGTAGTTTGGATAACTACGCCGTGGCGAATGTCAACCTACGCTTTTCTCGTGGAGTTTAGAGTTAGTGAAATCGCCTCGAGATTGGGGCCTCGAGATCGCTGCCAGTATTGAAAATAAAAGGAGTGGGCGCTTCGCGCAGATAAACAATCACTCATGTGTGGTGGAATAAGTGGGGATGTTAGTTAGAGAGACTGGAGTTCAGCCGATCTTGGTGTTGCCATGGAGTGCGGCAGAGGACCCATCCATATGGGAAGTAGGGCGTCCAAATGTTGGCATGAATCTTCGAGTCATCGAAGTAGATCACCCCGAAAGGAAAAGCAACGACCGTCGGGTTTTTATCCTTCCTTGTCCTGGATCTTTGCCTTGACATTGTCAATGGTATCAGTGGAGGACTTGGGCACAGTTGGCTCAAGGCATTGCAAACCACGGAGGAATTCTAGGTGACGGGAGGTGATTCGGCGCTGCCGCTTTACTAATGCGTCTTCTCCCTTTTTTAACTTTTAAGTTTGGAGATGGGTATTGTAATGCTCAAATGCAAGTTGCGTTTATGTAACAACTGTGTGATTAAATAAAAATTGTAACGCTCAAATGCGGGTTGTGTTTATGTAACAACTGCTTGATTGAACAAAAAACTTTATTTTGAACATTTGCGTCTTATTCTGAATTTTTTTTTATATGCTTAGTTAAGCACCTTATTTGCGATGTTGGCGAGTTTTGTTTTGTTCGTGCCAAAGGTTGCTCCGAATCCGGAGACTTAGTTTGGCCAATCGTGATATCCACGAAGGGCGCTCCGAATCCGGAGTCTTAGTCGGCCCTAAGGTGTCATGCACCGAAAAAAAGGGAGGGGTTCCGAATCCGGAGACTTTAATCGGCCCTAAGGTGTTATGCACCAAAGGGGGCTCCGAATCCGGAGACTTTGATCGGCCCTAAGGTGTTATGCACCAAAAGGGGGCTCCGAATCCGGAGACTTTGTTTGGCCAATCGTGATATCCACGAAGGGCGCTCCGAATCCGGAGATTAAGTCAGCCCTAAGGTGTCATGCACCAAAGGGGGCTCTAAATCCGGAGCCTTTGTTCTGCCCTAAGGTGTCATGCACCAAAGGGGGCTCCGAATCCGGAGACTATTTGGCCAATCGTGATATCCACGAAGGGTGCTCCGAATCCGGAGACTTTAATCGGCCCTAAGGTGTCATGCACCAAAGGGAGCTCCGAATCCGGAGACTTTGTTTGGCCAACCGTGATATCCACGAAGGGCGCTCCGAATTCGGAGACTTTAATCGGCCCTAAGGTATTGTCCACCAAAGGGCGCTCCGAATCGGGAGACTTTAATCGGCCCTAAGGTGTCATGCACCAAAGGGGGCTCCGAATCCAGAGACTTTGTTCGGCCCTAAAGTGTTATGTACCAAAGGGGGCTCCAAATCCGAAGACTGTTTGGCCAATCGTGATATCCACAAAGGACGCTCCGAATTCGGAGACTAAGTCGGCCTAAAGGTGTCATGCACCAAAGGGGGCTCCGAATCCGGAGACTTTGTTCGGCCCTAAGGTGTCATGCACCAAAGGGGGCTCCGAATCCAGAGACTATTTGGCCAATCGTGATATCCACGAAGGGCACTTTGAATCCGGAGACTTTAATCGGCCCTAAGGTGTCATGCACCAAATGGGGCTCTGAATCCGGAGACTTTGTTTGGCCAATCGTAGAATCCATGAAGGGCGCTCCGAATCCGGAGACTTTAATCGGCCCTAAGGTGTCGTCCACCAAAGGGCGCTCCAAATCTGGAGACTTTAATCGGCCCTAAAGTGTCATGCACCAAAGGGGGCTCCAAATCCGGAGACTTTGTTCGGCCCTAAGGTGTTATGCACCAAAGGGGGCTCCGAATCCGGAGACTGTTTGGCCAATCGTGATATCCACGAAGGGCACTCCGAATCCGGAGACTTTAATCGGCCCTAAGGTGTCATGCACCAAAGAGGGCTCCGAATCCGAAGACTTTGTTTGGCCAATCGTGATATCCACGAAGGGTGCTCCGAATCCAGAGACTTTAATCGGCCCTAAGGTGTCATGCACCAAAGGGGCTCCGAATCCGGAGACTTTGTTCGGCTCTAAGGTGTCATGCACCAAAGGGGGCTCCAAATCCGGAGACTGTTTGGCCAATCATGATATCCACGAAGGGCGCTCTGAATCGGGAGAC